TCACTCCCCATGTTTCTTCCCCACCATGAGGGGGGACGTTTCGGTTCCCAGTCGCGCTGCTGCTGCTGTTGCTGCACTCTGCAGCTCATCTATACATGCTTTGCTGTTGTCCCTTTATTCATTTCTGGGTCTTGTGTTGTTTGCTGGAGGTTATGAATGACCAGGACCTCTGTCTCTTCCACCAGCACCTCTCACAGTCACACATATGGAGCCTGTGTAGCCATTTGTATCGAGTGTGTGTGTGTGTTTATCTACCTGTGTTTGTAATATGACAAGATCTAGCTCATGAGCCCCGCCTCCTAGCTGTGAAACAACCATTCCCGATCTTTTAATGTTTTCTTACATATCTGTTATCACAACTGTGGCTGGAATTTACCTGCCCAACTTCCTTTGGTTTATTTCCACTTGTTCACCACAGAGTCATTTGCCTGACTAATTTCCACTTGCTACATCTAGTTTTGTTCCCTGTTCATCGAAACTGATTGACGTAACTGTTTACCTGTTTACCTTGTAACCTGTGCGTCTTTAAATATTGTACGTTGTGATCATGTCTCCACTAGACTTGTTTAATAATGATGCCAGATTGTGTTCCGAGACTCGACGCAGCTTAGTTCAAGGGCCGCCACAGTGCCAAGTGCGCCTGCACCTTATCTCTCTCCTCATATTTAGCAAGGCGAGGGGTCCCATGCAGGACCCGCGTACTCTACAGGACTGGTCCAAGACTGTCTACCGTGCCTGGAATGATGCCTAACCGGTTCCCAAACACATTTGTATACCTGGAAGTGTGCAGGTGTGTGGCCTTGGTGTTACAGCGGCTTGTCATCCTGGCGCTAAGCTTTGACTCAGCTCCATCCAGAGATCTTTTTCTTCACTGCTCTCACAACTGTCACCTTTTTGGCCTTCTTCCGCCTCATCCCATTCTTGTTACATTGCACTTGTTGGTGTTGAATCCTAGTAGCCATATGTATGACCATTGCTACAGTCACATGTATAAGATAGAGGGCGACAGGATAACATTCTCTTCTCCCTCATGCCTCTATACTCTGTCTCTTTTTCTTCTCCCGCCCCACAATCACGGCCAAACCGGAAGCGTATGGCAGGGATGCTGGTTTTCCCACGCCCCCCCTGCCCCCCATCCCCCTACATCTCCCCCCCCTCCCAATTCCCCCTCCTCATTCTCATGGTCGCTTCACATGACAATTGGAGCGGCACTGACCCCCCCCAACACCCCCTCCCCTCTCCCTCTCTCTCACCAACACACCCTCCCCCCTCCCTCTCTCTCACCAACACCCCCTCCCCTCTCTCTCTCTCTCACCAACACACCCTCCCCCCTCCCTCTCTCTCACCAACACCCCCTCCCCTCTCTCTCACCAACACACCCTCCCCTCTCCCTCTCTCTCACCAACACCCCCCTCCCCCAAACTCCCCCTCCTCCAGAGAGCCACAATAACTGGCTTGTTTTACACTGCTTGTGTCGTGTTGTTAGTGAGGAAGGACTGAACCAGGTCATTAGTTCGGCGGGAAGTTGTTCTAACTTATTGAGCGGTACAGCGTGCTGGTGAACACCGCGCTGGTGAACACCACCCTGGTGAACACCGCGCTGGTGAACACCGCGCTGGTGAACACCGCGCTGGTGAACACCGCGCTGGTGAACACCACCCTGGTGAGCACCGCGCTGGTGAACACCACCCTGGTGAACACCGCGCTGGTGAACACCGCGCTGGTGAACACCACCCTGGTTAACACCGCGCTGGTGAACACCGCGCTGGTGAACACCCGCGCTGGTGACCCTGGTTAACACCGCGCTGGTGAACACCGCGCTGGTGAACACCACCCTGGTGAACACCGGTGAACACCGCGCTGGTGAACCACCACGCACCGCGCTGGTGAACACCACCCTGGTGAACACCGCGCTGGTGAACACCGCGCTGGTGAACACCACCCTGGTGAACACCACCCTGGTGAACACCGCGCTGGTGAACACCACCCTGGTGAACACCGCGCTGGTGAACACCGCGCTGGTGAACACCACCCTGGTGAACACCACCCTGGTGAACACCGCGCTGGTGAACACCACCCTGGTGAACACCGCGCTGGTGAACACCGCGCTGGTGAACACCGCGCTGGTGAACACCGCGCTGGTGAACACCGCGCTGGTGAACACCGCGCTGGTGAACACCACCCTGGTGAACACCGCGCTGGTGAACACCACCCTGGTGAACACCGCGCTGGTGAACACCACCGTGGTGAACACCGCGCTGGTGAACACCGCGCTGGTGAACACCGCGCTGGTGAACACCGCGCTGGTGAACACCGGTGAACACCGCTGGTGAACACCGCGCTGGTGAACACCACCGCTGGTGAACACCGCGCTGGTGAACACCGCGCTGGTGAACACCGCGCTGGTGAACACCGCGCTGGTGAACACCTGGTGAACACCACCCTGGTGAACACCGCGCTGGTGAACACCGCGCTGGTGAACACCACCCTGGTGAGCACCGCGCTGGTGAACACCGCGCTGGTGAACACCGCGCTGGTGAACACCGCGCTGGTGAACACCGCGCTGGTGAACACCGCGCTGGTGAACACCGCGCTGGTGAACACCGCGCTGGTGAACACCACCCTGGTGAGCACCGCGCTGGTGAACACCACCCTGGTGAACACCGCGCTGGTGAACACCGCGCTGGTGAACACCACCCTGGTTAACACCGCGCTGGTGAACACCGCGCTGGTGAACACCACCCTGGTGAACACCGCGCTGGTGAACACCGCGCTGGTGAACACCGCGCTGGTGAACACCGCGCTGGTGAACACCACCCTGGTGAGCACCGCGCTGGTGAACACCACCCTGGTGAACACCGCGCTGGTGAACACCGCGCTGGTGAACACCACCCTGGTGAGCACCGCGCTGGTGAACACCACCCTGGTTAACACCGCGCTGGTGAACACCGCGCTGGTGAACACCACCCTGGTGAGCACCGCGCTGGTGAACACCACCCTGGTGAACACCGCGCTGGTGAACACCGCGCTGGTGAACACCACCCTGGTGAGAACCGCGCTGGTGAACACCACCCTGGTTAACACCGCGCTGGTGAACACCACCCTGGTGAACACCACCCTGGTATTATCCGAATGTAGTCCTCTCCGACTTAAATCAGGTGTCGTCCTCCTCAGCGTGACCTGTTGTCGTCCTCCTCAGCGTGACCTGTTGTCGTCCTCCTCAGCGTGACCTGTTGTCGTCCTCCTCAGCGTGACCTGTTGTCGTCCTCCTCAGCGTGACCTGTTGTCGTCCTCCTCAGCGTGACCTGTTGTCGTCCTCCTCAGCGTGACCTGTTGTCGTCCTCCTCAGCGTGACCTGTTGTCGTCCTCCTCAGCGTGACCTGTTGTCGTCCTCCTCAGCGTGACCTGTTGTCGTCCTCCTCAGCGTGACCTGTTGTCAGGTGCGACACACGGACATAACTCAGCCCTCACTAAGGACACAATAAAATATAGGTAAAATTTTATCACGTATATTTATCTATATTACCCAAAAAACGTGGGTATCTTATATGTCGAGTTATAGATACACATTACTGGACACTGTACATTAGATGTACAGTTATATATATATTGAGTACAATAACATAGAGAGCAGCGTTACTCAGTAGTGATAATGGTTCTCTTCCGAGCCCTTGTACTTCTCTTGCCAGTATCCACTACGTACTAGCAAGACAGTTCTTGGGACCCTCAGCCAACTATACTGACACGACGGTTACCTTGAGGTGCTTCCGGGGCTTAGCGTCCCCGCGGCCCGGTCGTCGACCAGGCCTCCTGGTTGCTGGACTGATCAACCAACCTGATCAACCACGGTATATATATACAGCTAACGCAATAGTCTGTAGAACTTTTCTACCTTCTCGTGGCTCAATATTATCATCCTGATGTCGACGGTAGATATCTAACACTCCCCACGGCGTTGTCAGTCACCATCTTCCACGGGTCGTAGTTCAGAAGAGAGTTATCTTGAGGTTATCTTGATTTGATTTCGGGGCTTTAGTGTCCCCGCGGCCCGGTCCTCGACCAGGCCTCCACCCCCAGGAAGCAGCCCGTGACAGCTGACTAACACCCAGGTACCTATTTTACTGCTAGGTGCAACCCGTTCTCGCAAATTTAATAAGTCAATATTGACTTATTAAATATGTGCATAGGTGACATACTTAACATAATAGATACCCTTAAAAAGATTCATAGAAAACACCGACCTTACCTAACCTTGTTAGTATCTTTAGATTAGCATCTTATAGCTTCGTAATTACAATTATTACCTAACCTATAATAGGTATAGGTTAAGTAATAATTGTAATTACGAAGCAATAAGATGCTAATCTAAAGATACTAACAAGGTTAGGTAAGGTCGGTGTTTTCTATGAATCTTTTTAAGGGTATCTATTATGTTTAGTATATCACCTATGCACGTAGTTAATAAGTCAATATTGATAGAGGTAACAGGGGGCATAGGGTGAAAGAAACTCTGCCCATTGTTTCTCGCCGGCGCCCGGGATCGCACCCAGGACCACAGGATCACAAGTCCAGCGTGCTGTCCGCTCGGCCGACCGGCTCTCGAGTGGATCGCCTCGTCACAATTTCGCCATACGTCTAGTCACACAACTAGACCATGTCAACAGGGTGGAAGTGTAGAGTACTGACCATGTTCTGTACTCATTGCCTCGTCCGGTGGTTCTGATTGGCCAACAGAATTCCCGCCACCGGACGAGCCACGCCGTGTGGGTCGTTAACAACCTGCATGGTTGTTAACGTCGTTCCCACTGTAATGTTTAGTAGGAGATCTTTACTCTTAAGTACCACTACTTATACTCTGATGCGACGCAATAACACGATAAAAGAAACTTCCTGTAACAGTGAACATCACCCTGGTGAACACTGCCCTGGTGAACACCACCCTGGTGAACACTGCCCTGGTGAACACTGCCCTGGTGAACACTGCCCTAGTGAACACCACCATGATGAACACCACCCTGGTGAACACTGTTCTGGTGAACACTGCCCTGGTGAACACTGTTCTGGTGAACACTGCCCTGGTGAACACTGCCCTGGTGAACACTGTCCTGGTGAACACTGCCCTGGTGAACACCACCCTGGTGAACACTGCCCTAGTGAACACTGCCCTGGTGAACACTATCCTGGTGAACACTGTCCTGGTGAACACTGCCCTGGTGAACACCACCCTGGTGAACACTGCCCTGGTGAACACTGCCCTGGTGAACACTATCCTGGTGAACACTGTCCTGGTGAACACTGCCCTAGTGAACACCACCCTGGTGAACACTGCCCTGGTGAACACTGCCCTGGTGAACACTATCCTGGTGAACACTGTCCTGGTGAACACTGCCCTAGTGAACACCACCCTGGTGAACACTGCCCTGGTGAACACTGCCCTGGTGAACACCACCCTGGTGAACACTGCCCTAGTGAACACCACCCTGGTGAACACTGCCCTGGTGAACACTATCCTGGTGAACACTGCCCTGGTGAACACTGCCCTGGTGAACACCACCCTGGTGAACACTGTCCTGGTGAACACTGCCCTAGTGAACACCACCCTGGTGAACACTGCCCTGGTGAACACTGCCCTGGTGAACACTGCCCTGGTGAACACCACCCTGGTGAACACCACCCTGGTGAACACTGCCCTGGTGAACACTGCCCTGGTGAACACCACCCTGGTGAACACCACCCTGGTGAACACTGCCCTGGTGAACACTGCCCTGGTGAACACCACCCTGGTGAACACTGCCCTAGTGAACACCACCCTGGTGAACACCACCCTGGTGAACACTGTCCTGGTGAACACTGCCCTGGTGAACACTGCCCTGGTGAACACCGCCCTGGTGAACACTGTCCTGGTGAACACTGCCCTGGTGAACACTGCCCTGGTGAACACCACCCTGGTGAACACTGCCCTGGTGAACACTGCCCTGGTGAACACCACCCTGGTGAACACTGCCCTAGTGAACACCACCCTGGTGAACACCACCCTGGTGAACACTATCCTGGTGAACACTATCCTGGTGAACACTGCCCTGGTGAACACTGCCCTGGTGAACACTATCCTGGTGAACACTGTCCTGGTGAACACTGCCCTGGTGAACACCCTAGTGAACACTGCCCTGGAGAACACCACCCTGGTGAACACCACCCTAGTGAACACTGCCCTGGTGAACACTGCCCTGGTGAACACCACCCTGGTGAACTCTACCCTGGTGAACACTGCCGTGGTGAACACCACCCTGGTGAACACTGTCTTGGTGAGCATTGCCCTGGTGAACACCACCCTGTTGAACACTGTCCTGGTGAACACTGTCCGGGTGAACACCACCCTGGTGAACACTGTCCTGGTGAACATTGCCCTGATGAACACTGCCCTGGTGAACATTGCCCTGGTGAACACTGCCCTGGTGAACATTGCTCTGGTGAACACTGCCCTGGTGAACACTGCCCTGGTGAACACCGCCCTGGTGAACACCACCCTGGTGAACACCGCCCTGGTGAACACCATCCTTGTGAACACCGCCCTGGTGAACACCGCCCTGGTGAACACTGCCCTGGTGAACACCACCCTTGTGAACACCGCCCTGGTGAACACTGCCCTGGTGAACACCACCCTGGTGAACACTGCCCTGGTGAACACCGCCCTGGTGAACACTACCCTGATGAACACCACCCTGTTGAACACTACCCTGATGAACACCACCATGGTGAACAACACCCCTGATGAACACCACCCTGGTGAACACCACCCCTGATGAACACCACCCTGGTGAACACTGCCCTGGTGAACACCACCCTGGTGAACAGCACCCAGATGAACACCGCCCTGGTGAACACTGCCCTGGTGAACACTGCCCTGGTGAACACTGCCCTGGTGAACACCACCCTGGTGAACACTGCCCTGGTGAACACCACCCTGGTGAACACCGCCAAGGTGAACACTGTCCTGGTGAACACCACCCTGGTGAACACTACTCTGGTGAACACCACCCTGGTGAACTCTGTCCTAGTGAACACTGCCCTGGTGAACACCACCCTGGTGAACACCGCCCTGGTGAACACTGTCCTGGTGAACACTGCCCTGGTGAACACCACCCTGGTGAACACCGCCCTGGTGAACACTGCCCTGGTGAACACTGCCCTGGTGAACACCGCCCTGGTGAACACCACCCTAGTGAACACTGCCCTGGTGAACACTGCCCTGGTGAACACCACCCTGGTGAACACCACCCTGGTGAACTCTACCCTGGTGAACACTGCCGTGGTGAACACCGCTGTGGTGAACACTGCCCTGAAGAACACCACCCTGGTGAACACCACCCTGGTGAACTCTACCCTGCTGAACACTGCCGTGGTGAACACTGTCTTGGTGAACATTGCCCTGGTGAACACCACCCTGGTGAACACTGCCCTGGCGAACACTGTCCTGGTGAACACCGCCCTGGTGAACACTGCCCTGGTGAACACCACCCAGATAAACACCGCCCTGGTGAACACTGTCCTGGTGAACACCACCCTGGTGAACACTGTCCTGGTGAACATTGCCCTGATGAACACTGCCCTGGTGAACATTGCCCTGGTGAACACTGCCCTGGTGAACACTGCCCTGGTGAACACCACCTTGGTGAACATTGCCCTGGTGAACACTGCCCTGGTGAACACTTCCCTGGTGAACACTGCCCTGGTGAACACCGCCTTGGTGAACATTGCCCTGGTGAACACTGCCTTGGTGAACTTTGCCCTGATGAACACCGCCTTGGTGAACATTGCTCTGGTGAACACTGCCCTGGTGAACACCGCCCTGGTGAACACTGCCCTGGTGAACACCGCCCTGGTGAACACTGCCCTGGTGAACATTGCCCTGATGAACACCGCCTTGGTGAACATTGCTCTGGTGAACACTGCCCTGGTGAACACCGCCCTGGTGAACACTACCCTGGTGAACACCGCCCTGGTGAACACCACCCTGGTGAACACCGCCCTGGTGAACACCATTCTTGTGAACACCGCCCTGGTGAACACTGCCCTGGTGAACACTGCCCTGGTGAACACCACCCTTGTGAACACCGCCCTGGTGAACACTGCCCTGGTGAACACCACCCTGGTGAACACTGCCCTGGTGAACACCACCCTGATGAACACGACCCTGTTGAACACTACCCTGATGAACACCACCATGGTGAACACCACCCTGGTGAACACCGCCCTGGTGAACACTGCCCTGGTGAACACTGCCCTGGTGAACACCACCCTTGTGAACACCGCCCTGGTGAACACTGCCCTGGTGAACACCACCTGGTGAACACTGCCCTGGTGAACAATGCCCTGATGAACACGACCCTGTTGAACACTACCCTGATGAACACCATCCCTGATGAACACCACCCTGGTGAACACTGCCCTGGTGAACACTGCCCTGGTGAATACTGCCCTGGTGAACACCACCCTGGTGAACACTGCCCTGGTGAACACCACCCTGGTGAACAGCACCCAGATGAACACCGCCCTGGTGAACACCACCCTGGTGAACACCACCCTGGTGAACAGCACCCAGATGAACACCGCCCTGGTGAACACCGCCCTGGTGAACATCACCCTGGTGAACACCACCCAGATGAACACCGCCCTGGTGAACACAAGAGTTCTGGGTCAAGAGGAGCTCCGCATGGCTGTGGCGGCACCCTGGCCGCAGCCTGGCCGCAGTGTGCGGGCCGCAGGCGGGCCGCAGGTGCACCCCTCACAAACACCACCATAAAAGGAGTTTCTCCGCCCACTCCGGCCAGCGACTGCCTCTTAAGGCGGCCAGATGTCAACTGAAAAACCGGAGAGAAACATCGGGCGTTGCCAGCTGTGTTTTGATTGGTGTCAAGACGCTGACGTCACCCTAGAGATAGCCAATCAGGGTCACGTATTACCGCAAGCACTCGCGTTGCCGATGTCACTCACTCTTCACTCTATACATTTCGCGGTTTCCACCAGTTTAGAGAACAGACGCCGAGGCGCAGGAGCGAGGAACAGGAAGTGAACGAACGTGACTAGAAGGAGAGACGGATAAAGTGAGTGACAGAAGAATAAAACAAAAGAGAGTGAATGAGACCAAAGCGTCAACAACGGCTGATCATCTTTTATGTTATTCCTGAGGTTGACACGACGCCATCTTTCTTCTCCTTCAAGGACCCTCCTATCATGCCTTCCTTCCTTCCTGCCTTCCTGCCTTCACTCCTTCCTTCACTCCTTCACTCCTTCCTTCCTGCCTTCCTTCCTTCACTCCCGTCTTTCTTCTATCCCGCTATCTTTTTAAGTCTCTCATCCCGGACGAATTAAGATGAGAATTAGGGACCATATAAGGACAAGATTATATATATATATATATATATATATATATATATATATATATATATATATATATATATATATATATATATATATATATATATATATGGTGGGGTATATCTTGTGTTGGTGGAGTATATCTTGTGTTGGTGGAGTATATCTTGTGTTGGTGGAGTATATCTTGTGTTGGTGGAGTATATCTTGTGTTGGTGGAGTATATCTTGTGTTGGTGGGGTATATCTAGTGTTGGTGGAGTATATCTAGTGTTGGTGGGGTATATCTTGTGTTGGTGGAGTATATCTTGTGTTGGTGGAGTATATCTTGTGTTGGTGGAGTATATCTTGTGTTGGTGGAGTATATCTTGTGTTGGTGGAGTATATCTAGTGTTGGTGGGGTATATCTTGTGTTGGTGGAGTATATCTAGTGTTGGTGGGGTATATCTTGTGTTGGTGGAGTATATCTAGTGTTGGTGGAGTATATCTAGTGTTGGTGGAGTATATCTAGTGTTGGTGGAGTATATCTAGTGTTGGTGGAGTATATCTAGTGTTGGTGGAGTATATCTAGTGTTGGTGGAGTATATCTTGTGTTGCTGGACGTATATCTTGTGTTGGTGGAGTATATCTTGTGTTGGTGGAGTATATCTTGTGTTGGTGGAGTATATCTAGTGTTGGTGGAGTATATCTAGTGTTGGTGGAGTATATCTTGTGTTGGTGGAGTATATCTAGTGTTGGTGGAGTATATCTTGTGTTGGAGTATATCTTGTGTTGGTGGAGTATGTCTTGTGATGGTGGAGTATATCCTGTGTTGGTGGAGTATATCTTGTGTTGGTGGAGTATATCTTGTGTTGGTGGAGTATATCTTGTGTTGGTGGAGTATATCTTGTGTTGGAGTATATCTTGTGTTGGAGTATATCTTGTGTTGGTGGAGTATATCTTGTGTTGGTGGAGTATATCTTGTGTTGGTGGGGTATATCTTGTGTTGGTGGAGTATATCTAGTGTTGGTGGAGTATATCTTGTGTTGGTGGAGTATATCTTGTGTTGGTGGAGTATATCTTGTGTTGGTGGGGTATATCTTGTGTTGGTGGAGTATATCTTGTGTTGGTGGAGTATATCTTGTGTTGGTGGGGTATATCTTGTGTTGGTGGAGTATATCTAGTGTTGGTGGGGTATATCTTGTGTTGGTGGAGTATATCTTGTGTTGGTGGAGTATATCTTGTGTTGGTGGAGTATATCTTGTGTTGGTGGAGTATATCTTGTGTTGGTGGAGTATATCTAGTGTTGGTGGGGTATATCTTGTGTTGGTGGAGTATATCTAGTGTTGGTGGGGTATATCTTGTGTTGGTGGAGTATATCTAGTGTTGGTGGAGTATATCTAGTGTTGGTGGAGTATATCTAGTGTTGGTGGAGTATATCTAGTGTTGGTGGAGTATATCTAGTGTTGGTGGAGTATATCTAGTGTTGGTGGAGTATATCTTGTGTTGCTGGACGTATATCTTGTGTTGGTGGAGTATATCTTGTGTTGGTGGAGTGTTGGTGGAGTATATCTAGTGTTGGTGGAGTATATCTAGTGTTGGTGGAGTATATCTTGTGTTGGTGGAGTATATCTAGTGTTGGTGGAGTATATCTTGTGTTGGTGGAGTATATCCTGTGTTGGTGGAGTATATCTTGTGTTGGTGGAGTATATCTTGTGTTGGTGGAGTATGTCTTGTGTTGGTGGAGTATATCCTGTGTTGGTGGAGTATATCTTGTGTTGGTGGAGTATATCTTGTGTTGGTGGAGTATATCTTGTGTTGGTGGAGTATATCTTGTGTTGGAGTATATCTTGTGTTGGTGGAGTATATCTTGTGTTGGTGGAGTATATCTTGTGTTGGTGGAGTATATCTTGTGTTGGTGGAGTATATCTTGTGTTGGTGGAGTATATCTTGTGTTGGTGGAGTATATCTTGTGTTGGTGGAGTATATCTTGTGTTGGTGGAGTATATCTTGTGTTGGTGGAGTATATCTTGTGTTGGTGGAGTATATCTTGTGTTGGTGGAGTATATCTTGTTGGTGGAGTATATCTTGTGTTGGAGTATATCTTGTGTTGGTGGAGTATATCTTGTGTGGAGTATATCTTGTGTTGGTGGAGTATATCTTGTGTTGGTGGAGTATATCTTGTGTTGGTGGAGTATATCTTGTGTTGGTGGAGTATATCTAGTGTTGGTGGAGTATATCTAGTGTTGGTGGAGTATATCTAGTGTTGGTGGAGTATATCTAGTGTTGGTGGAGTATATCTTGTGTTGGTGGAGTATATCTTGTGTTGGTGGAGTATATCTTGTGTTGGTGGAGTATATCTAGTGTTGGTGGAGTATATCTGTTGTGTTGGTGGAGTATATCTTGTGTTGGTGGAGTATATCTTGTGTTGGTGGAGTATATCTAGTGTT